CTGACCGTATAAACGCCTCAATAATTTGAATAAACACCCCTCTCGAATAAACGCCATCCATTTGAAATAAATTCCTCCCTTGTAAACGCCCCCCCCCCCACCAAATGAACAAAACTAATGGAGGTAACATCAGTTTCAACACATTCTATTATAATGCTCTACTCCAGTATTACATTTTTCTAAGCTGATTGGGATCCATAAGTCCTTAAGATCACGCATTACGTGGTTTTCGCCGCACGACGTTAACCTTAACGTTAACGGATGACGTCAAAATTTATTTATCTTGCGTTGCGGAGTACGTAAGTTCAGAATTTTATGTGCTCGACGTACGTTAGTTACGGGTTTGCGCATGCGCATTTGGATTTGTTTACAAAAGGGGCGGAGCTATCGCGCTGCATGTTGGGTACTAACGTTAAAGTTAAGGTTAACGTTGCGCGGCGAAAACTACACATTTTGTCGGTAATGGATCATCTAAGCCCCGCCCTGGAATACTGTTGCTAAGACGACAGTGTTAAAACCTACGCAAACACGTGTGTTTGTGTGACAACAACACGTGTTAGTGAGACGCGCTAGCGCTGTTCTGACTGGTCAAATAAAGGGCCCGGGGGTTTATTTGAATATTATACTGTACATTATAGGCCTATTTATTGTTTTAATCCCTCTTTAATACTAAATTCTTACCGCACACACTAGTCGGTTCGGCGTTCGCTGGATCACAACACACAAAAAAATCCCTACAACAATCTCCGTAACCAAGGCAGGCCGCATCGCAATGACACACTCGGGTACCATCGATTTCGAAAGCCTCAGCACTTTCCATACAGTGGCTCTCGCAAGTGCTATTCTCTATACAGGGCCAACGGAGAGAAAAAATAAAGGTGAAGAATAACATATACTTATTAAAAGCCTTGTAGGCCTATCCGTAGAATCGCTACAGTAAAGCCGGACACTCACTGCGTCGTACGACGGCCGTACGACCGTCGCACGACGAATCCACATTTGCTTCCGGAGAGCGATAGACGACGCAACGCTGTCTGCTGATTGTCAGTGGCAATCTGAACGGATCCTCATTAAAAAGACGATTTGGTTCCGCGTCTTCGCGTGCGTTCTTCGTCGCGTTGCCGTCGTGTCGCCGTCGCACGCAGTGAGTAACCCGGCCTAACAGGATCCTGGCGCTGCGTAGCTGTTGTACGCTCTCTGATATTCAACTGACCAATCAGCGTCGCCAAAGCAGTCGGCGATAGCGTGTAACGATTTTTATGGAAACCAAGCTTTAAACAATTAATAACAACAATAATAATGAAATTATGATTGTATTGTGCTTATATCCTTTTCAAAAACTATAACAGTAAAAAGCCTGCTTTGCTTAAAATCGCTACACTGTCGCTACAGCGTTTTCAGTGCAATCGGGAAGGCTCCCCAATTCGACCGACCATCAGCACCACCTAAAGCTGTCGGCAAAAGCGTGTAGTGCTTGTATGGAAACCAATCTTTACATGAAAAATGATATCAGTTTACTAATTGGACAATAATAAACCAACTGTTACTTCATGTAGTCCGTGTAGAGATTATGAACTTACACTGAACTTCCTAATTTAAATATTTAAGTTATTTAAGTTACTTTCCATTCTTCAGACAATGCAATGCGTATTTGGCTTGTAATTATTTTGTGCAGCTTCACACTAAAGATAAACAGATTAAATCAAAGCATGTTTTCCACAGGCGAATTTATTCCCGCAAATCGAAGGCGTCGGTTCGATTCCTAAGCTCTGGTCGGTTGCGCACTTTCTCCGCTTCGCAAAAAGTAGAAACAAGTTCAAACTACCGATTTCACTGAAGCGAAAACTCCGATAGAAATGTGAATGCGCATGCGCATGAACAAACGTTTTCGACTCGCGCGAATAAATTCGCAAGTGAAAAACAGGCTTAATTCGATACTTGGTGCAATAAGAGGTAAAATGTCAGTCTATGGTTCCCATGTGTATCAAGTTAATAACGAATTTGATTTTTTATATTTTTCCAACAGCATACCGAAGATACCATTTCAATTATAATTATCAATGTTAAAAGCATTGTTTTTAAGTGGCCAATGGCCTTAAAAAATGACAGACAGACCGATTGGGCCAATTCATTTTGTTGGCCGATCTTACAATGTTAATTTTTCCAGCAGAACTATGGGAAAAACGGGGGTAGACAATTATCTGAGGAATTCTCCCTTCACTCCCCACCGCCCCGTAGCGCCAACCACTCCCCTTATCTACTTTAATCATTTTAATAAATTGTAACGCCCATGTATAGCTTATTTGTAGGCAGTACGAAAAGTACAAGAGGAAAGTATTTTTTTAAATGGGCATTAATGATGTAATTAATAAAGATTTGCCACAGACACAAGTTTTTTATTTATTTTTTTTTTTATTTTTATGAATTGTTCAGCTTACTCCACTTTTACATTTTGATATCCCTCTTTTCCCAGTTACCTGTAACCTTGTGATCATATTCCGTAAATCTCTTCTTCAATCCACGAAGAATAAATCGTTTCAAATCGTCAATTTCCTGTAAAGACAGGTAAGAGTTTTCAAGAAAATGTATGTAGTATTATCAATAATTATTTATTTCTGACATTGTTATTATTATCATTATTAATTGTTATTATTTTTACTATCATTCTTTTTATTGCTATTCAAACTCTGTTTATTGCCAAACAAAACACAAACCGTACAAAAGACAGAGTGAGTTGCATAGTAATAATAGTAATAGTAATAATAATAATAATAATAATAATAATAATAATAATAATAATAATAATAATAATGATAATAATAATAATAATAATAATAATAATAATAATAATAATAATAATAATAATAATAATAATAATAATAATCTCTTTATTTATACACAACAAAACCCAAATTCAACATAGAAAAATACAATATCAAAAAAGAAATTGTAAAATCTTCCTTGAGTCCGTGGTTCATTAATTAATAAAAACAAACAAAATCAACAACAATAATTATATAATAATTAAAATATTAATAATATTATCATCACTATTAATATTATCAATAATATAAATAATAATAATAATAATAATAATAATAATAATAATAATAATAATAATAATACGAGTTAATGTCTCGTATTATCTCGTACATACGAGTTAATGTCTCGTACGTACGAGATAATTGCAAAAAAATATTTTTACGTTGGCAGCAATACGCTTCCGTACAATTGAGCATATAAAGATAGAAAATAAATGTATTTGAGACCTACCTGCTCATTATTGCGATTGAGAGCGATCGAGTTTATAAAAGTAACCCCACACAAAAATACAAGAAATAATAGCAGAAAGGACTTCATGTTTGTTTTTGATCAGTTAAACTTCTCTCTTGGTTCGCAACAGCGATATGTCCCATATACAACGTCTTGTCTGAAATGGACCTATTAGCCTGGTCTGTCTAGTCTATATATATATATACTATAGGGTCAAATGTTCGATAATTTATTTGTATAGAGGCCTACAGCATATGCCTACTGTTTCGTCATCAGGAAGTAACAGATACAAATATTGATTGCATATTTAAATATATGAATTGTAAAGCACATGTCACTAATATTTTAGTCGATATTAATCCAATTGAATATTATTTTTTTACCAAAGTAAATTGAACATGTTTACCATATCTCTGGCTCTGGGATAGATTAGGCCTAGTCAGGTTTTTTATGCGGGTTATCACATCTCATTAACACTAGACATGAAGTAGGCCTACTTTGAAGACTTGTTACGTCATCAAATTGTCAGACAACTCTTCCCCTAAAGTAGCATATCTGTAACAAGCAGGGGTGGCGCCATCTGGGGAAATTCGTCGGGGAGAAAAAAAAATGTATATTTATTTTTACGGATTATCAAGAACAACATCGATTAAATAAGCCGCTAAAACCCTTAAACTGTCATATTTTTCGGGGGGTTCGCCCTCATGGAACACTTTCGAGATATATTGAAGCGACGCCCGACAATGTTCACTTTCTTCGTCGGGGAGATCGGTCCTCCGTCGAGGAAATCGGATCCCCAGTCGGGAAAATCCTGGCACCACCATTGGTGTCACAACGTAGGCGATTCATGCCTTTTGCATGAATTAAGCATCGTATTCAGCTCGTACAGCATATTGTCCATAATGTTTTAGGCAAGAATGACGATTATGATAATAACGTATTCGTATTCATTATCGTTTTTGTACTTTAAAGTACGTCATGTCAAGTGTTTTATTTACTATTATGTCAGACTAGCATGGCTTATCTATTTTGACACTCTATTGTATGTCCATATAGTGATGCATAGGCCTATATATGGTCATGATGTGATGTCATCATGACCATATTTAGGCAGTGTTGTATTTACTGTTATATCAGGGTCTAGTATGGCTCATCTATATTTACTTAACCACGTCTTGTGAAGTCTTTGGCCGGCAGAACCCCTTTTTCGAGTTAACCTTCTCTCCTAATGAACAAAACTACCCTCCCTTCCTCTCACAATTTTTTATTCTTATAGGCCTAGAATAGTTTATATTTAGTTTATGTATTTAATCGTATTTCTAGTTATTACGAACCTTAGATGGAAGTATCACGGCCATATTTATACGTGGCAATAAAGAGAAACTTTAACAGTGAAGGATTTAAAAAAAAGGGGGGGGGGGCGTGTGTTAGTGTTCGAAACACCAAACATGATTTTTTTTAATCAATAAGAGAAAGTATCATAAGCTCAGAAACATCTGATCTTCTTGCGACAAGTTAAGATCCCTTTATGCGTGATAAAATCATATCTTTTTAGATGTACAGTACTGTAACATCGAATTACAGCCTTTCGTGATCGTAGATTATAAAAGATGGGGGAGTCACAGAACATAATGATTTGTTCTTTCTTGAAAATGATGTGGAAAATGGATTGGTTTTAAAGGGACCCACAGTATTCATTTTAGCTTTCAACTGAAAGGTCAAACAATTAACGGCCGACGCTTTGTTAATGCCATTGCTTACCGGGCCGGCAGGGCCTTTCGAAAGTTGTTAAATTATGGGTTTTTAAAATAACAATTTTCAAATTTTTACTTAATTTTGGAGGTTTTCTTTACATTTTTTTTGGTGGCAGTATATATTTAGCGCAAAGTAGACGTAAATGTGATTAACATTATTTTGTTAGTCACTTTATTGTTTGCCATTTTTAAAATTAGTTGTAATGTACGCATATCTTCATCTTGTAAATAATATGATTAGCAGTGGCATATCTAGAGTGGTGCGCACGTCCCTCCAAAAATATTCGCCCCCCCCCCCCAATTCAAGACTCTTAGATACACCACTGATTATCAATCTGATTAGAAGCTCTCTGGTCAGCACACTTCATTTGCTACAACAGGTTAGATTCAGTAGGGGGAACGGCGGCATATCAATGTCATGTGCTCTCACTTATCTATTCTAAAACTGCTGTTCCCCCACACCTTCCAGTTTGAGAAATTCTGGATCCGCCCTTGTACTAGCATATCGACTTTGATAAAGTTAGGAAATAATATTTGGCTATTTGTCGGTCTAATTCATTGGATATTTATAGATCAGCAATCTAGATAAAAACTACTAGGCCTTATTTAGTAAGTTTGGCACATTTTCATGAGGCAAAAGTTCCCGTTAGCAGAAATGGTCCATAATGAGCTGTCTGATGGTTGAGAGTGAGCTGTCAATGGTCCAGAGGGAGCTGTCTGGGGGGTGTCATGCGTGCTTATGCACGAACCCCACGTCAAAAAACGTCCACATTTTCAAAACAGTAGAAAGTATAGTGTTATATCCAGTAGTGTATAAATAATATACTGTAATAATATAATATACAATAATAATATACATAATACAGTAGTATATACTGTGTTTTTTCTGTAATGAAACTTAAATACTAATATTTAAAAAAGACAATTTGTTTGGTTGTCTCAAAACGTACTTTATTATATTATTGTATGAATATCTAAGAATTTATACAAAACACAGATATTCTAAGTGCTAAATTGTCCAAATAACTAACAGAAATTAAATAATATAATTCCTGATTGTTTACCTCAGATCCACAAAAAAATGCAACAATTAAACAGTTGATGTAAAAAAACACAAAATTTTTGTACACACATTGGTGGTTTTCACACACATACACTATGCATTATGCATGATAAATGTGACCATTTTTGTTTATGCTCATAATACTAAGTTCTATACATTTAATATTACATTTTGTGGGATAAAGGCATCAACAGAAAGAGCATTGTGGGAGAGCTCCTTAAATAACCATTGGATCCCAATTTATCAATCCAAATATCAACATATCAATAATACAGGTATACTACCTCACTCACTTTTCTCAAATACCTATACATCAATCGACATAAATGACCTTTCCAGTTTGGCAATCAAACTTAACATCTGACCAATCAGAATAGTGCAAGGAATACTCTCCCACACTGCCACTGATATCACCCACTCAACATCAACACACAGCGGTTTAGCTGGGTGCGAAAAGGCCCCAGTGCAAAATTAAATGCCGGGCCCTTTGATGTGATATGGGAATTCCTTAAAGTTCTCAGAAAATTCGTCATAAGAATTGCTTTTTTTACCCCCTACTCCTAAAGACTTAGGTTAGTAATAAATACTAATGATAATCGGTTTTTTAACTAATTTAAGGAGGGCATATTCAGTCTCAGCAGCTGTCCTAAACTAGTCAAGCAAACTGGCAGCACGTAAATTTAAACAATTGCGGTGGCGGATCAGGAAATTCGAAATAAAGGGGCCAGGGAGGGATTTTCACAAGTGGAGGAGGATGAAGACAGATTTATGATCTGTCTCTTATACACATCTAGATGTGTATAAGAGACAGTATATATACTTAGGCAAGAATGACGATTATGATAATAACGTATTCGTATTCATTATCGTTTTTGTACTTTAAAGTACGTCATGTCAAGTGTTTTATTTACTATTATGTCAGACTAGCATGGCTTATCTATTTTGACACTCTATTGTATGTCCATATAGTGATGCATAGGCCTATATATGGTCATGATGTGATGTCATCATGACCATATTTAGGCAGTGTTGTATTTACTGTTATATCAGGGTCTAGTATGGCTCATCTATATTTACTTAACCACGTCTTGTGAAGTCTTTGGCCGGCAGAACCCCTTTTTCGAGTTAACCTTCTCTCCTAATGAACAAAACTACCCTCCCTTCCTCTCACAATTTTTTATTCTTATAGGCCTAGAATAGTTTATATTTAGTTTATGTATTTAATCGTATTTCTAGTTATTACGAACCTTAGATGGAAGTATCACGGCCATATTTATACGTGGCAATAAAGAGAAACTTTAACAGTGAAGGATTTAAAAAAAAGGGGGGGGGGGCGTGTGTTAGTGTTCGAAACACCAAACATGATTTTTTTTTTTTAATCAAAAAGAGCTCAGAAACATCTGATCTTCTTGCGGCAAGTTAAGATCCCTTCATGCGTGATAAAATCATATCTTTTTAGATGTACAGTACTGTAACATCGAATTATAGACTTTCGTGATCGTAGATTAGAAGAGAAGGGGGAGTCACAGAACATAATCATTTGTTCTTTCTTGAAAATGATGTGAAAAACGGATGGGTCTTGAAGGGACCCACAGTATTCGTTTTAGCTTTCAACTGAAAGTTCAAACTATTAACGGCCGACGTTTTGTTAATGCCATTGCTTACCGGGCCGGCAGGGCCTTTCGAAAGTTGTTAAATTATGAGTTTTTAAAATAATAATTTTCAAATTTTTACTTAATTTTGGAGGTTTTCTCTACATTTTTTTTTGGTGGCAGTATATATTTAGCGCGAAGTAAACGTAAATGTGATTAACATTATTTTGTTAGTCACTTTATTGTTTGCCATTTTTTAAATTAGTTGTAATGTATGGATATCTTCATCTTGTAAATAATATGATTAGCAGTGGCATATCTAGAGTGGTGCGCACGTCCCTCCAAAAATATTCGCCCCCCCCCCCCAATTCAAGACTCTTAGATACACCACTGATTATCAATCTGATTAAAAGCTCTCTGGTCAGCACACTTCATTTGCTACAACAGGTTAGATTCAGTAGGGGGAACGGCGGAATCTCAATGTCATGTGCTCTCACTTATCTATTCTAAAACTGCTGTTCCCCCACCCACTCCTGTTTGAGAAATTCTGGATCCGCCCTTGTACTAGCATATCGACTTTGATAAAGTTAGGAAATAATATTTGGCTATTTGTCGGTCTAATTTATTGGATATTTATAGATCAGCAACCTAGATAAAAACTACTAGGCCTTGTTTAGTACGTTTGGCACATTTTCATGAGGCAAAAGTTCCTGTTACCAGAAATGGTCCATAGTGAGCTGTCTGATGGTTGAGAGTGAGCTGTCAATGGTCCAGAGGGAACTGTAGGGGGTGGGGAGGGGGTGCCATGCGTGCTTATGCACGAGCCCCACGTCAAAAAACGTCCACATTTTCAAAAGAGTAGAAAGTATAGTGTTATATCCAGTAGTGTATAAATAATATACTGTAATAATATAATATACAATAATAATATACGGTACATAATACAGTAGTATATAATGTGTTTTTTCTGTAATGAAACTTAAATACTAATATTTAAAAAAGACAATTTGTTTGGTTATCTCAAAACGTACTTTATTATATTATTGTATGAATATCTAAGAATTTATACAAAACATAGATATTCTCAGTGCTAAATTGTCCAAATAACTAATATAAATTAAATAATATAATTCCTGATTGTTTACCTCAGATCCACAAAAAAAAATGCAACAATTATACAGTTGATGTAAAAAAACACAACATTTTTGTACACACATTGGTGGTTTTCACACACATACACTATGCATTATGCATGATAAATGTGACCATTTTTGTTTATGCTCATAATACTAAAGTTCTATACACTTAATATTACATTTTGTGGGATAAAGGCATCAACAGAAAGAGCATTGTGGGAGAGCTCCTTAAATAACCATTGGATCCCAATGTATCAATCCAAATATCAACATATTAATAATACAGGTATACTACCTCACTCACTTTTCTCAAATACCTATACATCAATCGACATAAATGACCTTTCCAGTTTGGCAATCAAACTTAACATCTGACCAATCAGAATAGTGCAAGGAATCCTCTCCTACACTGCCACTGATATCACCCACTCAACATCAACACACAGCGGTTTAGCTAGGTGCGAAAAAGCCCCAGTGCAAAATTAAATGCCGGGCCCTTTGATGTGATATGGGAATCAATTCCCTAAAGTTCTCAGAAAATTCGTCATAAGAATTGCTTTTTTTACCCCCTACTCCTAAAGACTTAGGTTAGTAATAAATACTAATGATAATCGGTTTTTTAACTAATTTAAGGAGGGCATATTCAGTCTCAGCAGCTGTCCTAAACTAGTCAAGCAAACTGGCAGCACGTAAATTTAAACAATTGCGGTGGCGGATCAGGAAATTCGAAATAAAGGGGCCAGGGAGGGATTTTCACAAGTGGAGGAGGATGAAGACAGATTTATGATTATAGCACCTATAGATGACAGGAAATGGCACTCTAGGACTTAAATATAATCATTATAATTTGCTCCCCCCCCCCCATTTTCTTTTATAATTTTGCAAAAATAAAGGATAGGCCGGCTGGGGCCTCCATTAATACACCACTGAATAGAAATCAACACAGTAATCAATAATTAACTAACTCTAAAAACTGAATATTATTGAGGGGCCCGCCGGCAGTTTTTTTTTCTTCAAAATTAGGTTGGAAATTATTTTAAATTATTATTTTTAGGTCTATTTATGAATAGGCCCCTAATAGCCCTGTGCCCATGTTTAACTGCTGAAATAATTTTCTATCAAATTTTCAAGATGACACACATAGCTCTACTAGCCCACACACAAAATACCATGGGGGTGGGGAATAGCACCTGGAGAAACTCTTTCAGGGGGTGTAACTATTCACTTATAGTAAATACACCACTGACACACAAGATACATAAATAAATACTGTAACATATTAACATTAATTTACTGGTCATACACAATACCCTGTTGTAAGGATCTCTTTTAAATTATTGTCCTGAATCAAAAACCATAACTGGTGCAAGTGCTCTCCTATTGAGAAGCAAATAACAAAATCAAAATACGAAATGGGTGGACTGTTTAAAATGGTCTTAACCAGCCGATTAGAGCCATCTTCATCACACAGATGGCCATAGAGATAGTAACGACAATATTTTTATGGCACAAACAGTACAAAAACAATGTGAATGACCATTTATTTTGTTTCCAATAAATTTTTGTCAAATACTTTATCATGTTTTATCAAATTTTATTTGACAAAAACATGTGACATGCCTAAATATGGTCATGATGACATCACATCATCACCATTCCATATATAGGCACATCATGGCTATATATGGCCACATCATGACCATATATGGACATACATCTGTTTTTTGATAGTGTGGACAGAGCCTTAAAATGAATGTCCACAGGACATTGGCTAAGTTATTCATAAATATATCTTTCAATAAACATAATACAATACAATAATAATTATTGTATTGTAGAAGGCAGTCAGTGATAAGTACTGTTTTTTTTTATATATAATTTTTCACCTTTTGACAAATCTTCAGAAGATGGCAAATGCATTAACAAATATATATGCGAAAGTATGCATGCAACAGAAAAAATACAACATATTACATCCCTGAAGCTTTATACAGTATTCACACATTCAAATTTTATGTAAAAAATAACTGTGATATGCCCGTATATGGGTATATGACATTATCATGCCCATATATGGGTATATGACACCATCATGCCCATATATGGACATGATGATAACGCACAATTTGACTTGAAGGTGATTCATGTGGAAAGTGACATAGCTATGAGGCAAAAGCTGTTGTTCGAAAAAGATTATTCTGACCAATCAGTGACCTCATTCTTTGCTAAGCATGTAGACAGCCGAACAAACTGAAAATACGTGTGTGATGACTGTTTTCACATGCTGTGTCAATCAATTCTACTGCACGCCATGCTTTTGGTGCTGTTCACTGCCACTCTTTGTGTGAACAGGCCTTTAATCTGGGAACACACATATGAGTTTTGTGTATGTTGGGCACATTAAGTCCTGTCCAGATTAAGCCCATATATAGTTATGATATGCCTACATATGGTCATGGTGTGATGTCATTATGACCATATTTAGGCAATACACCACTGAATAGAAATCAACACAGTAATCAATAATTAACTAACTCTAAAAACTGAATATTATTGAGGGGCCCGCCGGCAGTTTTTTTTTCTTCAAAATTAGGTTGGAAATTATTTTAAATTATTATTTTTAGGTCTATTTATGAATAGGCCCCTAATAGCCCTGTGCCCATGTTTAACTGCTGAAATAATTTTCTATCAAATTTTCAAGATGACACACATAGCTCTACTAGCCCACACACAAAATACCATGGGGGTGGGGAATAGCACCTGGAGAAACTCTTTCAGGGGGTGTAACTATTCACTTATAGTAAATACACCACTGACACACAAGATACATAAATAAATACTGTAACATATTAACATTAATTTACTGGTCATACACAATACCCTGTTGTAAGGATCTCTTTTAAATTATTGTCCTGAATCAAAAACCATAACTGGTGCAAGTGCTCTCCTATTGAGAAGCAAATAACAAAATCAAAATACGAAATGGGTGGACTGTTTAAAATGGTCTTAACCAGCCGATTAGAGCCATCTTCATCACACAGATGGCCATAGAGATAGTAACGACAATATTTTTATGGCACAAACAGTACAAAAACAATGTGAATGACCATTTATTTTGTTTCCAATAAATTTTTGTCAAATACTTTATCATGTTTTATCAAATTTTATTTGACAAAAACATGTGACATGCCTAAATATGGTCATGATGACATCACATCATCACCATTCCATATATAGGCACATCATGGCTATATATGGCCACATCATGACCATATATGGACATACATCTGTTTTTTGATAGTGTGGACAGAGCCTTAAAATGAATGTCCACAGGACATTGGCTAAGTTATTCATAAATATATCTTTCAATAAACATAATACAATACAATAATAATTATTGTATTGTAGAAGGCAGTCAGTGATAAGTACTGTTTTTTTATATATAATCTTTCACCTTTTGGCAAATCTTCAGAAGATGGCAAATGCATTAACAAATATATATGCGAAAGTATGCATGCAACAGAAAAAATACAACATATTACATCCCTGAAGCTTTATACAGTATTCACACATTCAAATTTTATGTAACAAATAACTGTGATATGACACATATGGACATGATGATAACACACAATTTGACTTGAAGGTGATTCATGTGGAAAGTGACATAGCTATGAGGCAAAAGCTGTTGTGCAAAAAAGATTATTCTGACCAATCAGTGACCTCATTCTTTGCTAAGCATGTAGACAGCCGAACAAACTGAAAATACGTGTGTGATGACTGTTTTCACATGCTGTGTCAATCAATTCTACTGCACGCCATGTTTTTGGTGCTGTTCACTGCCACTCTTGGTGTAAATAGGCCTTTAATCTGGGAACACACATATGAGTTTTGTGTATGTTGGGCACATTAAGTCCTGTCCAGATTAAGCCCATATATAGTTATGATATGCCTACATATGGTCATGGTGTGATGTCATTATGACCATATTTAGGCATACTAGATGTTGTTGGGGTTTGTACCATTCAAAATATCTTTTGAACTCAAACAATACACAACATCATCAAAGTTTGATCACACATGTTAGTCTAACAAACATAAAAAAAAAACATATGCATGTGCTACCAAAATAACAAAACAGATTTATAATCTTTTATTCCAACTTGGCCTGATCTATATGAAACACACTAATTGCACTAACAACTAAAAAATATACACCCTCTATTAGAAAAAACTATATAATAAACTATTCCAAATTATCCATGCTATGCATGCAAAATTATTTTAAATATAAAAATATAAATATACATAAAATTAATAACAGATTCTTCAAAAGAAATTTATATGAATATAAACATTCAGTCTTTAGGCGAGACTTTTTTTTATACCTTGTTTTAACTTATTTTTTTATATATCGTCAGAGGGCGGAAAAAATATAAAAATAAAATTTTGTTTTCTTGTTTAGCCAATAGTTTTGCTAAAAACATCCAGATGGAGAAAATAAAAATAAAATTTTATTGGTGAAAATGTAAACAGTGCATTAATGGGATGGTTAAATGCTTTAAATTTATATAATTAGGAAGAAACATACATACCTTATTTTTAGATTTAATGGCAGTGGTGGGCGTAATAATTATTTTTTTCTGAAATTTCAATTTTTTGTGGCGGCGGGTGCACAAATTGGCAAAAATTAAAATTGTATTTTTATTTGAAATCACCAATATTGGCAGGGGGCAGGTTCACTGAACAAGGCATAAAAAAATACGACATTAAATGAAATATCAAAAACCTCTGCAACATGCAGATCCTTTATCAACCGTCTTGTTCATAATTTTTATTATATAAATTTGTTGCAACAATATAGAAAAAAGTATTTACAATCAGTATGTACAATTATTATGCACAAGTACATTAATCCTTTGGCACCAAGTTTCTATTATATCAAGTTATTACGCAATACTACTTCTGAAGAATTCCATGAACACGGAAACGATATAAACATGTGTATTCTATGTTACCATGGTTACTGTGAATCCTCAGCTCCACAATACGAAAGGCATCTGTATTTGATTTCTGGGAAGGTAAAATGGTCAAATCATATTATATTATATTATATATATATATATATATATATAGATTAAAAGGCAAAATACTGGAAAACAACAATGCTGTGGGAAACAATGGCTGGATCTCAGTAGAGATACAAAAATGATAAGCAACAGCTAAAAAGTAAACGTAAGTAAACAGCCAGAAAT